TACCATCATTTTAAAGGTTCTAGTTTCAAAACTTCTATTCATTTATTTATTTTGTATTTTCTAAAAAAGAACCAGATTCTGAACCATTTAAAATGGTCTCTCAGTTAGCTCGAACAAACCAAAGATTTCGAATTCCCTAAGTGTTATGGTAGATTGTTTTTTTCATGTATTATTATGTGTTATTAGTGATGACAACAGCATATGGATAACTCTTTCTTTGAAAACACTGTTTGTATCTAGCAAAGTTGGATAAATGTGGAAAAAAAGTCAATTTGTGATCCTGAAAATAAAGCAAAAATGATGTTATGTCAAATTGATGTCAAATTTTAAAAGTAGGTCTAAACGTCAGATTTTTCATGAAGCTTTTAGTTAGACTGACTTAAGTTATCCTGACCCATGTATGTAATGATGCTGCCATAGGCTTAGGCTTCTGGAGGACACACTGACCATTTTTCATCACTTTCTTCTTCTACTACTCTCCATTTTACATTATTTGCTGTTAGGTTTAAGTTTTCTCTGTTATTTTTTCCCCACTGAAGCTACACTTGGTCTAGCATTCTGTTGAGTTGTGGTGCCTTCCTGGCTGAGGTAATGCTGCCAACAACTAACTGTTCTGCCTCTTCTGCTGTTAACTTTTTACTTTTTATTAACATAGAAAGTACCCCTGTGCATCTAATCTTTCTTCTTCGGTATCAGTCTTCGTAGTGAAAATGCTTTTGGTTCTGATGTTGGTTTCTTCCTGTTGAACGGGGGTTTTTCCTCTCTACTGTCGCCACATGCATGCTCTGTATGAGGGACTGCTGAAAAGTTAACATATAGTCTGAATGTTTGTCTGGGAGGAGTGAAAGCTGCAAGTCAGTGATTTGCTGCTGGGTTTCCTCAGATAGAAACTTTTTGAACAGCTTTGAATAATTAATCTAATTATTGCAGTGTTTGATAACTAGGGTCATGTGGAATGTATGTGTGACTGAATTGAAGTAATGTTTTTGTAAATTGCTTCTAGACGACATTCGTTGTGAATTCGTGCAATATAAAGAAATTGAATTGAACATGAGCGTCATGCATTATCATGATATACATTTTTGTTTTTAAATTTTTGTGCAAACACTATGCTTACTTAAAACAATAGTTTTAATGAAGGCTATCACACATTACAAATGTGCTCAAGACCTTGTCAATACTCCCCTACTGTAAAAAAACACAATTTTGAAATTGAGGTGTTTCCATTAAATAAGAAACACAATTAAAATCACACTTGAACAAGTTTGTTCACGTATTTCCTATCGTCGCCTTCTTTTTTGTGGTTTATGCCAGTAGTAACATGCGATTGCTGATCTTGTGCTTTAAAAAAGTGTTTCCTTTGCAGCTTTGGGAACCATACGATTTTGAAACGGTTGAATAAGCCACCTCATCCTAGCACCAAAACTTTTGATCAAAAACAAGTTGTTTTGAAACTGGCATGTTTTCATTAAACAAGTTTAAATTCGAAATGTCAAGGTAGTCAATGGAAACATAGCCAGTGAGAACCTCATACCGGACTAAACTTAGTCCCATCTAAC